TGAGTCTGCTAAAAAGCTACAAAAACCGTAGACTATTCTTTCCGTTCTCATTAATTGTAAGCGAATAGTGCACTGTACTTATGTGGTGTAGTGTAGATCGTGGGGTCATAGCCACGCCGACGGTGCGTATATAGATTATATCTGGCTAGCAGCTTATCCAATCGAGCGTAGACAGTGAAAGTAATATGCAGAGACGGCATTGCACGTGTATATTGCATCTATACGTATATGATACATAATATACACGCGCAGACGGCGTGATTGTAAAAATTTGACATTTAAAATCGTGAACGTGACTTTGGGATAATTCGCTACTACCGGTCGATTAGCCGGACCTTGTTTCCACAGTGGACAATTAAAAGCGATGATTTTTTTCTCTTTTATACCGGCGACGAAGGCTACTGTGGAAAAAGGGTCGTTAATGCATGACATTGTGCGTTTCTGAGATTAACTTAACTTCCATCACATGCGATCGTTTTTCATACCGCGCAATAGACTTCAATTGAGACGATAGCCATAAAAAGGGTTTTACTTGTAAAGAAAAGTGTACTAAAAAAGTCGATAGGAGATATTCCGTTACGAATTTGATGGGCGAACTTGATACGAATTGTTCGAAATTATGAGTTCGAGAGTTAAAGTTATGAGAATTGTTCTTATTTTGTAACAATAGTTCTATTATTCGACGTTAGTTCAAAAGGCATTCACTTTTCGAACGTTTCTGTTTACTACTTCAAATAGTGTCACGTGTACACTCCTTGTATTAAAGATATGAATTTTGTAAAAAAATTGGACACGTAACTCCATTGAGTCAATGGAATGAAACATTTTGGCGCACAAAAAGGCTCTGATGAAAATAGGCCAAGGCCATTTTCCAATTATTGCCTTAATTTTCACTCTGACATAATATCCATAATTAACTATTAATTACCATAAAACATAAATGACAGCTGTGAGACGAAAATTATATATTATTAACGGCTAGACGAACAGAAAAGAGAAAACCTGAACTAATAAGATACTTGGTTAAAATTGACCAATAATACTTACCAGATTTTCAAGTTCGAATACATGACCAAGCATTAATTTAAATAATGAAAAAATAGCAAATGGCCGCATTACTGGTAAGCCTTATCAGTGGCCTTGTCTCTTTATTGAGAAATATCCCGCCACGAAAAAGTATAAATAAAAATAATACACATGCTCGAATCGCTTTCCACGAAGTGGTGGCCGAGCATTTATCACCATTATCAATCGTTATTGCACGTTGCATTAGAGTTATGAAACTGGTTCTACGTGCGTTAGCCTTTGTAAAGTGGCGCAATCGACATTTCTTTCGCCGTGGAACAGAAGGGAAAATACTAAGCCGCGGGACGATTATGTAATTACATACCTACGGACGACCAATAAACGGCTTTATGTAGTACGAGGCTATTTTTTTCCATCTCATAAGTTATTCACGTCGACGCGACGTATCAGCCACCTAACGAACTTTAGTATCCCGAAGTTTAAATATGTTGTCCGCTACCTTTTCGCCAGCGTAAAACTTTTCCTGACGGTAAAAGATTGGAGCGATAAGTTCCAAAGCCGAAGAAACAAAGCATTGATTTTATTTTAAATCGACGGTTCACTCTCACACATTCATTTTGAAATGGTTCGGAAATTCCGTACAAGTCCCGGCGCAAGTCACGTATATACGATCGCGCGTTATTCAGCGAAAAACTTTTTGAATGTCCCATCGGAAGCCGCCGGTTGGAGTGTCCGAATAAGAGGGTTTCTTCATGAAAGAGTGAATTTTGCGAAAGTTTTCCTGCGACGCGAAATCTAACTTCCATCATCCGTGACGCGCGTACGTATTAGCTCGACAATGACCACGGTGTTTTTGTCGATAAGTTCTAAAACTGACACCGTACGAAAGTCTTTCGTAAAATTATATAGCCGGAAGTTAGAACTTAAATCAAGACCAACTAGGCGAATGAAACGGAACTGGTATTCGATAAAAGCGAATTTTTGAGCTTGGGAGCCGAAAATCGAATTGCCGAATTGGATCTGAACTTTTCGAGGTCTCTTTAATTTTGTTCCAGTCTATCATCATCTTTTTACTTGAGAAGCTATATGCGTGATAATTTTATTTAAACTTTCATATGTATTTTACGAGTCTTTGGGGTCCGCGATATTACATTTGATTCAATATTATAAAAAAAGCGTTTTATGTGTCCGAGAGTTAATTACTTCTGTGGAATAGAATGTAGAATCTTCAATTAAACGATGAATATGCATGGAGAAAAAAATTCATTTTTACATATATCTAGATGTTCTTTTTTGTAATTTTATAAAAGTTAACATGACTGGTATTTATAGTTCATTCTTATATTTAAGATCGTCTTAATCCTGCTGACTCTGATCTATTTGATCCAAAATGTAATTCACTTTTTTGTTAATATTTTATTTAGAAACTTTTTTCTCATTTGAAGTCTTCGTCAATTAATATAAGATCTATCAATATAAGATTTTTTTCTGTAAAAATCTTTTATTTTTTATCTTTAAAACTCAAAAAACTCTGATTGAAAATTATGTTGACTTAAATGATATAATCGTATAATATAAGCAGGTCAGTAGGATTATGTACAGTTATGTACAGTTTTAAAGTGTTATAAATCAATCGTAATAAAGCTGTATTAGCATCTTAAGTCTTTACTTAAGACTGTCTTGAAATATAAGAACCGACTATAAATATCAGCCTAATCGTCTAGGCATCAAATGAAAATCTCGTTGATTTGATATTAATTAAAATGAATGAGGCTTACTTTACAGAAATTACCGATGACTGTTTCACGCCGCGAGCGGTTAACATTCCCTCCCCCGCGCAATTCGTATTGTCTATTATCTCTCGCGAGCGGATGCATATTAATGCAATACGATAGTCGGACTTGCTTTATCGAGAAATTACGTATTCGACGGAATAAATAATTATCGGCTTAACGGCCGCGATTTGCACAGGAGGTTCCCTTCTATGTGACCTCGTACACCATTCACTTCGTGCACAATACTCCATGGCCGGATTGTATCGGCCCGAACGTGTCGTCGTACGATTAGAGCAAGCGGAACATCGAACGAATTCGATAAACAAGCGTTTCGACATTCTCTGAATAACACATCCTCCATACTCCATTTCTGTTAAGCAAGCAGGATCAAATAAACAAAATTGAAGAAATTGAACCATTTAGTGTTCATTTTGTGGTAATTTGTGCTACAAAACATAATTCTGTATCACGCCATTTAGAAGACACTCGTAGCATTGCTAATTTAATATTAAACTAAAACTCTGCCGCTGCAATTTTCGCCCGCGACGATTGTTGTTACTTATTATTTGTGGCGTCGTGCATTATGCACGAGAGTTGACGACAGCACGAATCGTCTCGTTTCGTTCAACTCTATTTCATAACTGTTAGAATTTACATGGTTGTTCGAAACCACAGTAGCGCGAAATCCGGTCGCAAGCATACCGTCGACTAGCGATGATCACAAAGAGATTGGAATGGAGTCAGTCGAAAATCGAGAATAATCCTTGTTTGCACTTCGCATTTCTTGATGCGATGTTACACGGTAGGTAGATGCTCGATATTTATGAGCAATCTTTCCTTTGATGGGTCTATCTACTCCTCTCCCTCCACGTAATCCTATTATTCTGAGGACGGGATAAACTTTCCCATCGATCATATTATACTACCAAATGCTTTCAATATTGTATTATGTGAGATAATTATTTATCGTATCATCAATCGCAGACAATGATGGATGGCTCTGAAAATTTTCCCTCTCTGTCTCTCTTGATGAAAATTCTCTTGTTTTGAGCTTCCTTCATTTTCGGGTACGGGATTAATTATTTTCTTCTCGAAAGAGAATATAATAGTCGTTGCACGCGTATAGAAAAGTGACGGGTAATAAAATTGATACACGCTGTCTGGCTTTTTTCTAAAAAATAGGTCACTCGGATTTATAATGTTGTAACTACCACACGATGATACTATCATTCAGATATTATTTCGTTCAAAAATAACGAGATTTTTAGAAAATAATTTTATTTATTTATTTATTTTATTTGTAATAGGAATAAAGCAGCGTAATAAATTTTTCTCACGCTGACGGCATTACAATACGATGACACACACAATTAAGCATGTACTAATTAATTTCAAATATAAATATTTTTTCTCTCTATTCTATTATTTGTGTCATCACGACATCCTAAATTGTCTTCAAATAATCCATTTAAACTCACTTCAAACTATTATAATATAGGATACACTCAATGAATCGCAACTTTCCGTTAATTAGTTCGTGTAATTAGTTGAAAATTGCGAATAGAATTCCCGCTTCTTGAAACGATCAATTTTTCCGAAAGCTAGCTATGTACGTAAGATTGTATATTGTACAAAAATTTGGGATACATCAAGTCTAATAGTCTTAGCAAAAAGTGACTGAAATTGAAAATTTATATTTTTTGTAAAAAATTAATGTTATATACATGAAATAATTAATTGACAATAAAGTTAAAGGTATTTATATCTAACAATACAATTTTATAGTTTAAATTCTCTCATTTCATAATTAATATAGTTTAAATTCTCTCATTCCTTAATTATTTTTTAAACATCTCTACTTCTAATTGAAACAATTTTTTATCCAGATTCTAAGTTACCGCCAAACTTTTTATATTTCAAATACAATTTAGAAAAATTTCGAACTTTTTCATTTTATTAAAGAATACTTTTATATACATCCTTAAACAAACTTACGATTTTTATAACTATTCGCGTAATACGATACAATTAATATCTTTGGCAAGTATCCTTAGACTTAGCGTTCCTCGCTTTTACTCTGAGTACGTTCGGCCCTCGTAAGTCGGCCGCTCCCGCAGTAGTCCCTAAAAAGCCCTTCGGCGGCCGCCCAAAGTTCCAAGAGCGATATTCGAAACAATAAATTACGGACTTGTGTTTCAGCGTGGATCCTGGGATGGTTCATGTGCAAAGCGGTTGCTTATATACAGGGCGTCTCCGTAGCAGCCTCCGTCTACAGCTTGGTTGCGGTCTCTCTGGACAGGTAAGTGTTACTTTTTATATCTATATACAGAGATCGTGTATGGATGTAGTGCATATGGGAAGGTATTTAATACACCTACTCTTCACGGACGCGCTAGATTGATAGATCGAGTCGCTTATGCTAATCAAAGACGATATCGTTTATATGTCGATTTTTTTTTAATCTTGAACATTGAAAGTGAGATTAAAGTTGCCTTAAATTCAATAATTGAGTGGCCATGCGCGTGCCATTATCGACTACTGTAAAGTAATTTGACAAGTTTTGACAGACAAACCCAAATTTTTACAGACAAACCTGTTATACAAACCGGATAAATTAAATGGAAAATTATGTATAATTATCTAGACGAGATACTAATGAATTCTTATATTATTTTGACATGGACTTACAGTAAGGTTACTAAAAATATACAAATCTGTCCTTATGTCTGATGAAATCTAACGCTTTTCTTGCGGCAGCTCCGTAACGGGTTCCACCGTGACATATTTATCTCTCATCAGCAATGCAATGCGCTCACGGACAATAATTATAGATCGCGGTGTAACGCACATATTATCGACATGTTTTCATTATGGTATATTAATCGTGATAATGGGCACACATTATACCCACACTCAAAATTTATCATGTAATATATAATGTGGTATTAATAGGGGAAACAATGCGTTTCAGTGTGTCGCGTGATATATCGTAACACGTATCGCATTATCGGTATTATATTGAAGGTTTATTAACTATCGTTAATACATAGTTTTCACATCGAACTTATTTCATATGAAAATCGCGCACGTTTGTAGACATTAACTTTTATACGCAAACGATATGTGCGCGGCACCTTACGTGACACTTCCGTTTTATGAGAGAATAAAACGTAGCCTTCGTATCTCATTCATGGTACAAATTATTACTATCTATTCGCCCGATGTATCATAAAGATGCACCTGATCAATTGAATGGTACTCGTGCGAAAGACCAGAGTTAAAAGCTCCTAACAGTCTAAAAAAATTATCTCTAATCGCAAATATAACGAAAAAAAATCAGAGAGAATAAGTTGGAGAAGCGAAATATAAAGAGACTAAGTTAGACTAGAGAATCGAAACTTATTATAGGTATCGTATTTGAATTTTTTGAAGAAAAATAATCTGATATCAATTTCACACACATTAGAAGATAAGACTTTTACCGTGAATCCGAGGAACAGTTTTATAGAATCTACAGAAACGATCGATCTTCCGTGAATTGCTTAGTGAGAGGGACCGTGCCAAACCTGGAAAATTGTCTTTCGCCTACCACGTGCGCAAATGTATCTTCCTCTTGTCACGTGATCGACGATGCAACCAAGAGCGCTGAAAATATATCTTCCTCCTGTCCCATACGCCTTGCAACGAGAAATAGCAGGGAAACCTTTGAGCTTGTACCTGAGAAAAATCCGAGGGGATATCGCGCATTGACTGGACCTCGCATCGAAATTGCAATGTCATTGTTGCAATTCTTTGCAAACCATGCGAAACCTAAATTACACCAGCTCGTTTATTTCGCGAAATAAATTTCGCGCATGAGAGGAAATATTCTATTTGCGAGCAGCGTTATTTCCCCTTATTGAAAACTTTCAATATGTCGGATAAAAGCGGAGCTTCGATGCTGAAAATTTTACAGGATCTTATTTTTGTTACGATTTCTCGTAGGAATATATGTGCATCTGTATTGTAAGATATTGCTGCATCTAAAACACACACGCACTCTTAACGTTCTCTCGTTATGGATGGTTAACTCTATCTCTAACTGCTATAAGAATCGTTGCGAAATTGAAGAGGATTATTTCAATGTTGTCTGTGATTTACCTAGGACATTAACGGCCGATGATAAATAAAAGTGCATTCGGTTTTTGTACATTAAAAAAAATTTTATTAAATTTTAAATATTTCTTTGAATATGGTATTAACTAAATATTTGCTATATGTAAACATATATTTATTTGATACAAGAATTATTAATTTGATTTAAATATCATTTTTTTATTGAGTAAATATTTATTTATTTATTATAAGTAAATATTTAGTTATTACTATTTGAACAGATATTCATTAAAAGTTAGTAAATTTTTTTAATGTATCATTTTGCACTGCGCACACATATATACATATATACACACATGTATACATATACAAGGAGACTCTAAAAAGTATCGATTTGACCCGCGATATTTGATCGCACTTGTCGTGCCGCTGTTTCACGACGCGTTCGTAATTCGAGTCCTAATATCACGCCGCGTTATTCAATCTGCTGTTAATTTACGCAACACTTTCCATTGATAAAAGTTTCATTTCACGCTCCGGACGAAGAACCTCTGGAGACTCTTACTGCGGCTAGGATCTGCTGCTCCCTGATGTGTGGTGTTGCGCGAATTAAATTGCTCTTCCTCTAATTTCAGATTCGCTTAGCGAATGACAGGAACTATTCTAATCTCCGTGATTTCCCGAACCGTTGCGTCGAACTTCCAACCATAGATTTCAAGTACGACTGGAAATAATTTAATTCGTAAGAAATAATGAGACTAGATGAATAGCAAAATTTGATCAAAGCTCAGCTTATTTAGATTGATCAAAATCTTGATATTTTAATCAATCATGATAATTTATACGAAGTATGTACGTTTATATCTGTACTGAACATTAAATGATGTAAGTTAGCTAAATGCTCTAAAAATTATAAGTAACAAAAATGACATTTCAAGTTTTTTCTTTGTAAAAATATTATATATTAATTTCATTTATTTGATAGAAATTTTTTATCAATTCATAAAGCTTCACAATTATGTAATTATGTAATTATTTAGGGAAATGCATCAAATATTTATTATAATTATTTAGTCAAATCTGGAAATGAATATTGAATGATATTGCAATTGATAATTAATATTAATAATTAATATTGAAACAATATTGTAATAAAATAATATTGTGAATAAAATAAAAACGCGCGACATTTAAAGTTTTATTCTGTAAAATGTTAATATATAATATGTGTCGCATCAAATATTGGTCACTACATCAAATTATTTTATAAATGCATCTTTTCTAACAGACCCTGTATTTATAAAATTAATCGAGATCGATTACATTTATAAAATTAATCAATCAATTACAATTTTATAAAAGTAATGCTTGCTAAAAGAGGCGTTTATAAAATAGCTTGACATACTGACCAACATGTTGATGTGTAACACGCGGTATATTAATTTTATTTATTCCGATAGAAGTTTTCCATAACTCCTAAAGCATAATTATCTAGGAAGATACATCAAATATGTATTTTATGTAATTACTTAGCAAAGCATTGGCACACGGCCATCCTATTAATATTCTAAATCTTGGTGCTTGATTATCTTACGAAATGTTTGTACAAGAGAAAGAAATTTTAAAATATTGCATTCAGTTGACATCTGACCGTGGTTGTCTAATTAAAATTTATAGAATTGCATTACAACTTTAAATCTCGTAAAGTTTTACAAATAAATTTCTTGCTTTTCGCAAAAATTCTTAGATTCGAGAAACAAAGTTTCTATCTCAACTTAGCTTCATTTCGAGACTTCATCGATAAATGCTCTCACAGCATCCGACGTTTGAAAAAATACAAAAAAGGTCGTAGATTTAGACCTTGGCTGCATCTTTATGGAACACATTTGCATTTGCCGGCGGACACTAGTCGCGATTTTTCTTCCTGCATATGTATTATTTACCCCACACACTCACACATCCGCTTCGTGTCAGGTATCGCCGGTATCGGTTCTGCGTATCTTAATACAGGAGTGTCTTAACCCAATTCTCGCAATAAACGCGAAGGGTTGAAAGCACATTATTGGCGAACCGGTGAGACGATCAGACTAGTATCATGGAGACGATTGGTCCACCAGCTATCCCACCATGTCCAGTGACCGGCTGACTCAACTAACTGGCGCCTATCGTCATATAGATATCTCAGGTCACGTGATCAAATTTATGGCGATTTTAAAAAATTCCATGCGGTATATAAGGCTTCCAAGTCGCCGAAACGGACATAAGCTGTCTTTGCTTCCAAGAAGTAACAAGCTATCCCCAACCAATCAACATGTTCAAGCTGGTAAGCTAAAACTTCATTTTATTTTATAATCTTTCTATATATAAAAAATTTATCTAATTATAAGCTTTCTAAATTTGTCTACAAGTTTCTTTCTTACAATTACAAAACGTTCGAACGGAATAAATAGCGTTTTCGCTTGTTTGTCGACCATCGCATCCTTTGTCAACTTAACGTACCGATTGACTATCGATGAAAACGCAAATACCGTAAAGTATACGCGTCACAGATATCCTAATAGAATTGTCGATCGATTTTCCGAGATGTAAATTTTCCACAAATAGGACGACAGTATTTCCGCTGACTGATTTTACGGAGGCATCGTCGCGATTACTGTTCCTCCGGTTCGTTCTCTCTCGGATCTTCGTTGCAAACATGATTCCTACGTCATGTCGCACCCATCATTCATTGATCCGAAAAGAAGAAATCATTACGGGAGGATCCGCCAAAAGACGTTACGGTTTTAGCGAGAAACGCGCCCGTTTATCTTTCAACTCCGAGTCGAGATTTTCTTTTCGCCGGCTCGGAATGACGCGTCTGTATATCCCGAGTAAACAGTGCCTCTAATACACCGTCGCTGGGGACTCCTTTCGTCCTCACTCTCGCACCTCCTGTGATCGATAAAGAGACGGGCAGCTATCCCACGGTGTACATATATGTAAACACAAGAAAAAAAGATTCCCGGCCTCTCCCACCCTTGGCTTTCGCGTTTGCTGCGACCTTTCCGCTTTGGCATGCAAGCGCGTATACGACACGACGACGAACCCGCCCTTACACCGTTCACCGGTCTCACAGCGCAATGGCATCCGAGTCTTTGCAGCGGAAATCTACGCGAACGAAATCACTGAAGCATGCATATTGTTAGCAGTGGTGGTGGTGCCGCCGACGTCACTGCCACTAAAGCGGAATGCTATTTGCGTGTCGCATTTTTTTAACGCAGTTCCACCGACCGACCTCGTATTCTCTGTCGCGATTTCTTGCGAAACGATGTTCGATATCCCACGCGTTTTTAATCGATCGATTGAATTAGCGCGATGTCTGACATGATCGAGAAAATCGGATAATTGTGAAACCAATTTGAATATTCATATATAAATATGATTGCAATAGTATTTAACCAATTTAGTGCAATTTTAATTATTTTGCAATGTTGTTGTTTTTATAAATAATACGGTGAATTTTCTGTAATTTTAATTATTGTCTTTATGAACAACGTGATGATCGGGACCATGAATTACACGGAACATCCAACGGAAAATACATACACAAGCTCATCGTAGGATAACTTTCGGACGGATTATTATAGAAGACTATTAAGAAGAGCAGTATAACTCTCTAAATCCACCTTATAATCTTCTTCATAGGCTGTCTTCGCTGCCATCCTGGCTGTCGCCGTCGCCTATCCCGGTGGTCTCACCGGCGTAGCCATCAGCCATGGTCTCGGTCCGATCCACGCCCCGCAGGTCGTTGCTGCTGCCCCAGCGATCTCCCACGGCGCCGTTGTCGTTGCCCAGCCCATTGCTCCCGTTGTTCATACTCCCGCTGTTGTCACCAAGACCGTCTTGGCAGGCCACGGTTTCTCTCTGCACGGTTAATCTAGGAGAACCAGCGTAAACTCACCACCACCACCACCGAGTCACGACGACGCAGCCTGGAAGAAAAAAAAACACATCCCCTACTTCCTCTTAATGTGAAGGAAAGACAACAAATTTAGCACGCAATTCTCATCGCCGATTTCGACTTCTTCACACTTTATCCTCGCCGTTATCCACGCGTGAACCATCAGGCCCAACACTCCGCGTGGGATCGGTCAAATTCCCGTCTCCCTATTTGTCTTTTCTTTGTATTTCATCGACAAAATTTTCGGACTCTCACCTGGATCATTCCGCCATCATCCCGAACCCTCCCCTCGTTCATATGAAATTTTAATAAAATTTTAATTACAAACCAAAATGAGTCTTATTGTTCGCGCAATTTCTAATCCCAGAGGTAGCTCGCTTTAAATAATAAAGGAAGGAGAATAACGCTACTATAAAGATAATATCCTTGCTGGCCCTGCGAAAAGATTTTTATGCCTTCCGTTCGCCATTCTGCGTCTGCCGACGTTATCCGATCTTATTCACAATATTTCCATGCTAGTAGCAATTTTATTGAACGCACGTACATTATTAAGGGCATAATAAATCGGAGCGCGCGTAAACGTATTTTTTTGTTCTCCCGATATAGATATTATAGATACATCGAAGCATATCTTGTTTACACACAGACAAATGGAATATAGTTAACACACGCCATCTGTAACTAGTGCAGAGTCCGAGCTTTGCTTTACGAGCGTCTCTGCCGAATTATTCTCGAAATAATTCCTCTTTTATCCTTCGTCCTTCCGAAAATATTTCTATTTGACGAGATGCTTGCTACGTTGTATTCGGTTTATCTTATCAGATGCTACGTCGAATATTGCGCCTGGAACGAGTCATAGGCGCAGGGAGAATGCCATTTTATGGCTCGTATAAAAGTGACATTGGGATTTGTGAAAATTAACGAACAAAAGGGACACAAAGTCCTTCTTTGTAATCCCGTATTTTATCTAAAAATATAAATCCCGATGATTGTACATGATGCATTAATGCATTTTATTTCTCACTTGTTTGATTTGTGAAGCCTCTTATTTTTACGTACTTTAAAAAAGTTTAAGCAAAGGGACAGTTTTCTGAGGAAATCTACTCCCATCGGTTATACTTATGTATCATTCGTATAGAGCATAAGTTCTTCAGCTAAAATATCGAAGGTTGTCAATTTTTGGTGATAATGTAAGACATTATTTTTTTTTACAGTGATAGTGTAAAGAAGCAACAGTCCATACGAAATATATATCACAAAATTATATTTAATAATTTTATAATAATCGGAAATGTCATTTTTTAACGATTTTGTATGAAAATTTTTCATATTTCACGCGATATCGTATAAAATTATTAATAAATTTAACATTACATGTTTTCAACACATTTTTCTTATATAATTCATGTTTTCATTCATGTATCTTCAGGTTATCTAACGATAAGTTATGGAGCTGAGGCTCATTAAGATTATAGATGATCCAAAATAAATCGTCGCGAAAAGGGAAACATTTTTCCCGTTATGAGCATTTAATCTTGTTGCTTTATGCTTTTGTTCACATCTGTTTCCTATTTGCTTCACATTATTTGCGCGGAATTGTTTATTGCGGCATAGCGCATACTACAGAATGCGAGATCAAAATTTAACATACTATCCTGAAAATGTATCGTTGGCAGATAATGGGTTAAAACGGAATTACTTGTCCGCGAACAGCGCGATTATGCGGTATAATGCGTGTTGTTTCATAAATTTTACCGGCGAACAAACGTACGAAATTGATGGGCCGCTCGATAACGCGGAGTCTGCCAAAAGCTCGGACGAGAGATCCTCTTTCGCGAAGCAGTATTAACGGCTGTAGGCTGGAAAAGAGGATGGGTAGGAGAGAAGGCAGATGGAGATCGTCATAGTCGAGCACACTGCGGCGTTTGCGACAAGAGAATATTTTATTTTAGAAATGTTCCACGATTCAGAATCATTTGGCGCGTTGCGGTGAGTCGCGTTATACGAGAAAACTACGATGGTGTTGGTGATCCACTGAATAGTCTGGATAGTACAAATCGATGTTAGTAAGCGTACGCCGAGCCTGGAAACTTGTTGTAGTAGCCATTATAATAACCGTTATAGCCAAGGTTATACGCCAAGGGGACCGGTTGATATGGGTACACCTTCACGTAAGGTGCAGTGTAGATCACCGGGTAAGGAGCCAACAATGGCGGCAGAGGACCTGGTGCCGGTGCTGGTACCGGTTCCGGCATCGGTGCGCATGTGACCGCTACCACCGCGATAGCCATTAGAATCTGGAAAGCAATAAGGATGATTACATTTTGAAATCGGAACACGTCACTTAAATCTCACGTCCGGTCTGCCTATCACTCTTCCCCCCATCATTTCCCGATTCCTGGTTTTTATGGGCACTATGAAAAATGTCGAGGGTGTGCTTGAGCGAGCAAGTGAGGCGCATTTAGCGTCGTCGATGTGACTTTGGCGACGCTTGATCGGCCTGTTTTTTTGCAACCGCGAGCTTGATATCACCTCGCTCCAATTAATCACCGGGACGATCGCACGTGCCAAGAACGATCTCTTTTTTTCCATTTTCCTCGATCCTCGATGATAGCGCCCTGCTTTTATTTTTCTTCTTTTATGGTAATTCAATTATCCGTTTAACACGGACGTCTCGCGAAAATTTCGAAAACATTTCTGCGGTACTTCGATTTCGACGGCACTGTAATTTCACGATAACGTTTTCCTCTTTCCATTCTGGATATTCCGCTTTGAAAAGGATTACACGGATTGATCGATCGTGGACGCTTTTACGTACGAAGCGAAGTGTTTGAGCGTTCTCGATTCGGGAGAACTCGACGAATTTATGAAGCGAAAGCGCCTCTGTCGATACGTTTATTAGCGAAATTGAACAGTACTCTGTAGTCGTAATGTTAATGCTTAGAAAAGCATTAAAGGCGCAGAATGTATCCAGTACTCGGATTTTACTCCAAATTTTATTTGATGCACTGAACAAAACTTTATATTGAACATTAAAGATTGTGCTCCAATGACAATTTTGATGTATGAATTTTTCAAGAATCTCACATAACGCGATACTTTGTTGCCAATACTTGAGAACTAAAGCTGATATTCATAGTTAGTTCTTATATTTAAAACTGTCTCTAGGTATAGTCTTAAGATGTCAATCGCAGAATCATTTAGGCACGATGAAAGGAATAAGAAGTAAGGAATATTCAATTTCTAGGTTGAATTCTATTAATCCTTGCTTCTCATTACTTCAGATCAATATTTTATAGGCAGGTATTTATAGTCAGATCTTATATTCATGATCGTTTTAAGAAGTCACGAATTAGAGGGCCATATTAGTGTCTTAAAGATAGTCTTGAAATAAGAATGGATTATAAATACCGCCCATAGAGGGCCCTATATAGTCAATTTTTATTTCAAGACCTTAAGTAATATCTTAAGATTCTAGTACGACTCTCTAGCTAATATTCATAGTCCAGTCTTACATTTGAGACTATCTTAAGTACAGTCTTAAGATAGATCATCAGAAGGCTGTATTAAGACATTTAAGACGATCTTAAAAAAAGAATAAACTATGAATACTGCCCTCTGTCTCTTTCATGATATCTTCGCCAAGACGTCAATCAGTAAGATAAATATAAGAATCTGCATGAACAAATATCGGTCTATAAATACTGGCCTAAGTCATAGAAATATCCTCGTGACTGGAAGTGAATCGGACACACTACAAATAGATATAGACGAATGTATACGGTGGATATACTTGCCAGTTTGAACATGTTAAGCGTTTTATCAGCTTTATTCCCGTTAAAGAACACACAGAACGACACTGTTCGATACTGTAGTTGCAACTACGGGAAATCGATCCCTTTATATAGATACATGTCTCCGGGATCATCATTGCGAACGTCTCATTGTTCGCCCCACCGCGCGACCATAGGCAGCCTTGAGCAAGCTAGATTTCCGCGTTGGCTATTTTTTTAACTTTTCTCGCCGTCTGGCTTCTCGTCGTTGAGTGGATATCAGATTCGGAGGTTCGTTGTTTATATCGAGATAAGTGCGATGTACACGCGCCGCTACTCGGAAGTGACGTGGCATTCCGTGAGAACGCTTGCAGATCGGTATCGGACTCATTGATTTATGGAAGGTCACGACAAGTATTTAAAGTTTATTCATTGAATTGAAGGTCACAACGACGAAGATGCAGTCGATGATGCCGATAACACGGAGAGAAGGGCGGCGCTTGTAATCGCGGTATAGCGGAGGCGGAAAATCCGCGACTGTTGGTGTGAGTGGTAAAATGGCGATTTAATGAATTCGGAAGCTGTACGATCTGTACGGGCATCGCGAGAGAGAAACGTTCATTAAAGATAGTATTCGACGTTTCTCCGTGGGCGGGGACCATTTAATTAATGAGGAAAAAGAAATACCCCCGCCTTTCGCGCGACTTGATGAGTGTCCCGCTTTTATGGCTTCTTTGCATCACAAAGACGCGCGCACTTTATCCCGCGCGAATCTCCTCCGAATCTGAACGTGCTTCATAAGACTCTGAAACGAAAGAATCGTCAATTGCTCTCACCTTGCGTCACCGTCGTCATCGTCGTTGTCGTCGTAGTCTTAATCGATGGTCTGCGGATTCTAACTACTTTGATAGCAATTTATGCGATTTTTATCCTATGTTCTTATCTCACGATCTTAAAATAGCGAACACAATTTATATGATTTTAGAATTTAACGAATAAATTGCTCTTCCCCATATTATGTCATTATTTTTTTCTTGTTTCAATATACATATTTTACATGAGAAAAAAATTGATTTTTTTAATTAAAAGGGATTATTTTTAATCAATCTTTTTGTAAAGAATCGCTTTCTTTTTTAACAAAGAGAATTATTTTAAAACTATTTTTTCGCAAAAAATCGATTTTTAGCGAATTGATTTGGAGTACATCCCTATTTGTACACATTTTAACAAAGTACGATGTAAGATAAAGTGTTTATATAATTTTCACTGTGTTGATATAAACAGATAGAAATGTCTTTCCATGATACACGAAGCTAATACTTATATACGTCAAGATATGTAATGTAATGTAAAAAGGATAAATATAACATTAACTGTCATTATAGAACCAATAATTACGCTGTAAGAAAAATGGATGTAGGAATTTAACACCATGCGATATTTATATAATTTTCTTGTTATTTATATCAATACTAACACGGTGAGAATTATATAACCTGTATGGTGTTAATTTCCCACCCATATTTTTTAGAGTATAATTATCAGCTTTATAATAAGAGTTAAAAAAATGTTATACTTATGTTTTTCTCTTACATCACATCACATATGTTTTACTTATATAAGTATTAGCTTCGTGTGTCGTAGAAAAATTTCTAAGACATTTCTATGATAGCAACTATAATTACTTCTGAACTTATTATCTTTTGTCTTAGAATGTAATGGTTGGTTCATTCACTTGAAGGTGATCAGCTCCATCGACATCGAAACGAAAACATGCCTCAACAGATTTTTCTCAAAATAATCCAACTTGTCTTAAATGATCCAGACGCTAATTCTTAAGTCATATAAGACATGTTACTCATATATAACTCGCGGCATGCCCATCGAAGCGTAACGGGTGCGAGTGTCTTTCGAAACAGCGAATGGAATATTTGTTGGCAATTCCGTATATAAAGTCTAAAAATGGCGACGACCTGCCTGATATGCAACGGGACAGCGATTTTCTACGCGCGTAGGCGTCCGAACCTGTCCTGGTGCCTGTAAAATGGCTATTCTGCATTCTTCGTACGATACAATAAATTAAATTATCTAACGCGCAAGTATATTTTGTGTAAAAAGGGGGTACAAGTTTATCGCTGATAAGATAGTTGCTAATAATTAGAAACTTGTCTGATCAAAAGGTATCATTCCCTTCTTATATCCTTTTACACTAAAAATCTTGTTTTTTCGCGACAGGCTTGACGTATATTTTAATCATTATTTAATAATGGAATAGTCATTACTTGATTTCAATAGTTATTATACATATACTTTTTTTGATGTATTATTGCACTAATTATTGCATACGTATTTCTTTTGAAGTTTTATTAATAAATTATATGAGAGATAAAACTGTGCGTATTTATTCTTTTTATCTACTAAATATTTTATCTACTAAATTCCTTTTATCTACTTCAACAAAATGAGATTATGACGCGAGATGTTGGACCAAGAATCTTTGATATATTAAATAAATTCTACTAATTAATACGTTAAAAAAGGCAATTTTTAAGATTGGATTGTTTCTACCTTTTGATAAATCTTAGCTCTTTCTTACTCTTTATAGTCTTATTCTTTTACACTCTTACTTATTCATTATATAGATAAATTATCACATAATTTAGCCGAAGATGAAACAATCGGTCTTAAATGCTTAAATATAATTTTTTGTGTAGTTTTATATATCTCGAAAATTTCCAATTTTTTTTAAACATATATATATATATATATATATATATATATATATATATATATATACATATTATATTTAGAATGATTTCAGATGAATATATTTTAAATTTTCTCTTAAGAATTCTCTTAAGCGGATTCTTAATTTAAATTTAATCGATTTGTATGAGTGTATAAATATAAATATCTAATATCATTTATTTATGTTATAACTTTTAAACTAACGATTTTTATGTGATTTAAGCTTTTATTTTTAAAATTGACGAATAAAATGATGATAATAATTAACGACTTATGCGGTTTATCTTTTTCAGGTTTTTGGCAATCTGGTGGCCGTTAAAATGTCAAATCACGAAGCGGCGAGCTCGCATGATAATCGTCGTAATCTGGTTCATCGCTCTGACAATGACGTCACCCTGGTTGCTATTTTTTGACTTGGTCTCCATCTACGACGATGATCCCGATTTACGTTTCTGTCTGGAAAAGTGGCCGCATCCTAAGGACGGCTCACTATTCTTTCTGATTGGCAATTTAATTCTTTGTTACGTGTTACCGATGATACTCATATCTCTCTGCTATATTCTCATCTGGATCAAGGTGTGGCGCAGGCATATACCCACCGATACTAAGGACGCTCAGATGGAGAGGATACAGCAGAAGTCAAAGGTGAAAGTGGTCAAGATGTTGGTCGTGGTCGTGATACTCTTCGTCCTCTCATGGTTGCCTCTCTACGTGATCTTTGCTGTAGTCAAACTGGGTGGCGACGTGGCTGAGAGGGAGGACGAAATTCTGCCGATCGCCACGCCGATCGCTCAGTGGCTGGGTGCCAGCAATTCCTGCATAAATCCGATCCTTTACGCTTTCTTCAACAAGAAGTACCGGCGCGGCTTCATCGCCATCCTAAAAAGCGGCCGGTGCTGCGGCAAACTCAGGTACTACGAGACCGTCGCGATGATGTCCTCCTCAACGAGCATGAGGAAATCCTCTTATTATGTCAACAACAATAACAACTCATCGACGAGACGCTGGCACGGACCACCAGTCCATCAGGATAGCAACGTTTCTTACATATTCAATCACACTGGTGTGTAATTGTAGCCATGTGAGTCGAAGGTGCCCTGAGGTAGCCTTTATTGTGCTGATTTGATACCCGATCAACGGTAGACAAACTGAAAGAGAACGCGGTGGCCTTTGCATCTCGATCGGCCACTCTAACGTATGATCGAAGCCAAAATCTGGCCGAAGTCAGCCAGTCCGAGAATTATGGGTCATCTTGGATGATCGACATGATTGTTACTCGGGCCGGAAGTAGTCAATGGAAAAAACGGAGAGCCGGAGGAGAAGAAGCCTTTCCCGGCAGACCACGAATCGTTGCCCTGCCATTGCCCTTACAAAAGACATCATTATTTGGATTTTGTCACAATGTTAGCCACTGCGTATCCTACGTAATATATTCTAATTGTTAAGACGAGTTCACCGCTGCGAGCGCGCGGTTGTACAATTGTTCGTCCAACGACACGACGAAGTAGCTTTCTAGATGATCCAAGAGACGAGATTTACGCTTCAATGAATCTTAGAACTTCTTCTATGTTTGAGATATTTGTACGGTACGTTTGAACGAAGAGTCTAGTTAAGTCTATCAATTAAATGTAAAGTAGGATGGGGTTTGTTACGATTGCGGCGGATGCATGCACCCTTGTATGTCGAGTACGTCAGTACGTAATTAGCGCGACAGCGGTGAGTGGCGATGATGATTCGTGTGAACGCGAATACGAATTGAGTCGTTGTCTCTTGATAATAGACACACTGCATTTCCGTCATGAAAACAATTAAGCCGATCCTCATCAGTGGGATATCGTAATTAAGGAGGCAGAGTGGAGGTATGTGCACCAATTAACATGGAGCTTTATCGAATATACGACGGAAGGCACAGCATAGTGTAAGACTCGATTTTGTTTCGTATTTCATACGAGTGGTCTTCGAACAGAATAAGATATTGATAAAATAAATCGCATAAGGCATTATCTACGCGTGTATCTAATACTGCATACCGCAGATTCATTCGTACACGTCTCGTACACGTTGAGATCACCAGTTGCACTAAAAATCGAGATTAGATAACACGAATCCATAGCGAGACGAACGAGCACATAATAATTTGCAGATTGTCATTAATGGTCAATATTGTGATTAAAAAGAATAATTTGTTTATATTTTTCAGAAGAAACTATTGGTCAATATATCATGGTTGGTTTCTTTGTAAGACTACAACTTACGTCATTCTCAATATGTATCTCTAATATCCATTTAAATTTTTCATTCTATAATATATTTATTCTTAGAGTAAAATAAGAATAAAATTAATTTACTAGTAATGAGTTAAATTAATCGATCTTTGTAAATACTACCAGTACATACAGTTTGTTTACATGTATTTTCCAGAAGAAAATATTGGTCAATAAATCATTGGACTATAACTCACGCCATTCTCTAATATGCATCTCTGATGTGCATTTAAATTTTTCATTCATAATTTTAAATTTATAATTCATATATTCATTCTTTGTGGAGCAGAATAAGAAAATAATTAATTTGAAGTAACAATGAAATAATTGATCTTTGCAAATACTACCGATACATGTGATTTAAAATTATAATTACTAAAGTTACGTATGTATATGTTCTTACCGAGACATTAATCTGAGATATCTGTTTATAATCTGTGCAAACGTCGTTGGTCTCCACATTTGCGACTCGTGCCAAGGACACGAGATAAACTTATGATAATGCAAATGTGTGAGATAAAGACGGTTTCTTTTTTCCGACGTTTTTTCCTTTAAAGACGTTTTTAAAGACATTTTTTGCATTCTTGTATAATCGAGAAACTAAATAACCAAGTGGCAGTCCAAAGTAGATCCTATCACTATCACTATCATCATAGGCGTTTGTTCGTTCTTGCTGGATTAATTGACAGGGTTTTTTCGAGCTTGATCGTTTACACCATCGCGTTTGCACATCGAGACTAATCCAGATTTTCCGAGGGCATTTCCCATAGCCTTCTGAAGCCGCAACATTTATCGCACGCTTGTCACAGCTCGTTATTTCGTCGCACGTGATTATCCGTCGACGATAAAAGAACAAAAGGACGTACTTTGTTCATTGGCATCGCGATCGATCAGATCGCGGATTTCCGGGCGCGTCGATGACGTGATAGAGTGATCGAATGATCGTGTAATTCGTTACATTTTAAGGGCCAAGATCGGCTTTTGCTTTTTCTCCAAGGGCAGCGGGATTACTTTGAATCCTTATAATTGTAAGATGGTAACGCCGTAAGCGAATTGCCGGATTTTACGGATAGAGTAATTATTTTCGTAAGGTTTTTATACGAGAGACGATACGAAAACTGTAGATTTAACTGCAGATGTTGCGAATTATTACAAAATCACCGAGTCTATTCCAATTCATATCCATCGGTGGCGATTAAGTGTAACAATGATAATAAAATAGGACGGGAAAATAAAAGAAGGATGCGATCAGCGGTGATAGCAATTAACTGAAGGAACGTAGAAACAATCAGGATTTTAAAATTGATACAATTTTTGGCTAGTTTTAAATTTCGATGCTATAGACACTTACACATACATACGTGCACACTCGCGTGCAGAAATGATATCTGAATGTACATCCAAATTGATGTGAAATATGTTTTTTGGTATCTGTAGCATCGGCAACTCGCACCGAAATTACGCCGGTTATAACACTTGGCGATAATCTTGGACTGCAACTATACAACAAATATGAAATGCCGAATACGTGTTACGAATAATCAAGTGTACGAGCATGAATATAACTGATCACGTAGTATGCATGTAAGGATCAAACGTAAGTCTATCCGCTCTGCATGTACGTACTATATGTACTGTTGCTACGTTGTGTTAAATATACATTAACACGTTCCAAGTTTATCGTTCCGTCGAGGATCCTTTTTGTACTGTTGATTGTTAATTACTATTATTGATCTTTGTCGCACGCACGGAGTATCTTCTATACGCACATATTTTAATAGATTTTTTGTAACTTTTAGAAAAAAAGCTTTTGTTTGTAAAGCAATTAACAAACGTAAATTCGTTGGAAGAATTATCTCCCTTCAGCGTGCGATTATTTTTTAGAAATGCATTGCATAATTGTCTATGATAAATTGTTTATTAAGAGATAATGAACATTTTAATTATATATATATAGCGAGATAAGAACTACGTTGGTCGCATTTGTAAATTAGATGCATGCAAGAAGATGTTGTAACAAATAAATGTAAAAAAGTTTATAATAGAGCTATGTAAAGTAAATTTTTGAAATCCTGGTACGTTTGAATATTTGAATATTTAGATATTACTGCAATCCGATTTTGAGATGCGAATAATTCTATTTCAGATAGAAGACGAATAGTCGAATAATTCGAGTACTTCAAATATCATGCATATTTTCAGACGGTTGAATTGTTGCCATGTTTGTACTGGTACCGTCATTTTGCAGTATATATATTTCCATATTTATTATATATTTCCATATTTGTGATATTTTTGACCAATTCTACATAGACTATCTGTATATATTTAAATAGATGCAGATTATCTTGATATTCAGATACTTGAAATATTCAGCTATTTTTTATCGGAAATCTCATGTTGAAGTTTCACCGAATTATCCGAATAACTGCAGAATTACTCGAACATCTACAACTCACTCCTACTCATGCTTAAGTTCTGTCACTTACGAGATGCAATAAAAAAGTTTCCGGACTAACGCTGTAAAAAAATAATTAATTCTATTTTCTCCCTTCAAAGTAATTCCTTTCAAAGTAATCTTCTTAGACAGCAATTCTTAACTGGTGATGTGAAAAAAAGTAAAGAAAGTTTAATACAATTAATAATCTCTCAGTTTTTTTACTTTCTTTAGATTTTTTTTTTTAGTTTTTTCAGAACATATAATGTTAATCATTATAAAGATTATAATGATTAACATTATCCGCGTTTCGCGGGTTTTCTCCATGTCCTGATAGTATCAGGATGCTTCTCGTCTTGATGAAGTGGACTGCAAAGTTCACGAAACGTTGACAAGAATGAATCTGGACACGGAGAAAACCTGCGATACACATAATCTTTATATAGAAAGCATCCGTGGAAGCCTCAAGAATGTTAATCATTTTTATTGATCATCTAAGAAATTTAATAATATAAAAAATAGGAAAGAAATATTGTCGTATTAAAATTAATGCTTTTGATTATTTAAAAATTTATGAACAAGAACTAGAAGACAAAATTTAAATTCTTTGGAAAATCTCTCAAATACCTTCTTAGGTAAGAATTAAGTAAGCGATCAGTCTAAGAACTAATTTTGTACCTCGTATGATTGACATCAAAATGGTTGAGACAGTTTTTTTTAGTGATCTTTGAAACATTTCCGATACTTAAGAGACGCTGTTTCATCCATTTTGGATTTTGACATTGAAACCGGTATTTATAGTCAAATCTTATATTTAAGATCGTCTTAAGTACAGTCTTAAGATGTCATGAACCAATTAGAGAGCCACATTAGTGACTTAAGACATTACTTAAGACAGTCTTAAAATAAAAACCGACTATGAATATTGATACATAATAAACCATAATAATATGTGTTCGAGAAATTCATGATCATGCCTTAATCGCGACAATTGAACCAGTCCTGTTGTTAATAATGCTTTTTCTCTTATAAGGATTTAATATTAATTTAAAAATAACACGTTTTACACACATATACAACGTATACTGTTGGCATCTGCCAAGGATTTTATCAAACGTAACGTAGATTAGATTACAAGATACTGCGAATTTATATCATAATAACGTATCGCGTTTATCGCATATTTCTACTTAGCGTTGGTCCTTGACATACAATTATTTTATTTGGTTATTCTTTCGATTATAATTCAGAAACGTAAATCACGTATTTAAAAGAGTCATGTTGATGAGTATTTCAAAAATAATAATTTAATAGTTAATTTTATTAACATAATTATCCAGGATATTGATATAAATATTTTCTATATTCGATTGATAATAAAATAGGTACTTTTCAAACAATATTTTTCTACAAAAATATTACTTCAATAATAGAAGAAGATACATTTTTGTTGGAACATTTTATTAAAAAAGTATACTTTTTTTATCATAGAATCTCTTATATAATATATTGCCGATATTGTGAATCATTTATGAGATATTTCAAGATGAGTTGAAGATACCGTCTAAAATTAATTCTCAGAGGCAGCAGGAAAATTGCGTAGAGTATCTGAAGCCAACGCTTAAAGGTTAATCTATCGTTGTGAGCCTTTTTTCTGATAGCGCGTAAGATGAGGGAAGACGATAACATGAACTAACATTTCTCTCGATAGACATAAGCATTCTGTTATACAATTTTTTATAATCGTTTGCGAGACACTCCCTGTTATATTCTTAGGTAATCTCGTATCTAAGCAGGACACGGAATACGAATAATTAAGCGTTTAATTAATAGAACGTATTTACGGTTATTGGTATATTATTAGTGTCAGTTGCGTGTGAAGTGGCTAAGTGTGTTTAATGACGTTGGCAGAGCCTTGATACATACAAGTGAGATTTTCACGGAGAGATATTGGAAATGCACATTTGTAGCTGCAAAATAATGTTTTTGTATATTTGAAATACCTTCTTTTTGTAGCGAAAAGTACTACAATAATGCGAAAGAGACGTTATTTACGTATTCATCATAAACTATAAATTATTATCTGCAAAAGAGAGGAGGAGGAGTAGATTGTCGGAGTACTTGTCAAATAACATTACATCTAGATTTTTATTAATTAACGTGAAACATCAGTTTCAATCACTTTTCTTTGTAATATGTAGAGAAGTTTAAGTGTCTTTTCCAGTAATTAAAATAATTGAATTTATTTTAAGTGGAATTTAGTGGAAGATTTTTTTGTACTAACTTTATAATTAAGTCTCACACGCGCGCGCGCGCACACACACACACACACATACACACACACACACACACACACACACAAAATAGAATATCGCTTTTGAAAACTTGCATAAGTGTCATGGTCAAATTGATACTTTCGTTGCACGCGTTACCGAATAAATAAAGATCAAAAATACTAGCGATTTGAATTGAGCTCACGCTTTATGAGGCGGCTATAATATAAAATCTTCTACATAACATCTCGAACGATATACCATCTTCTTTCCTTTCCGTTATTTTATTTTATTGACGGTTACGCGTTATATGGATAAGCGCAACGTTATCTGTATAACAATGAAATAATAGAAACATACTAGAAGGTAAGATGACGATTGCAGATGAAGTGTCGATAAGTGTTTAGCATCCTATCAGAATATGTATGTAACGTACCAACAAAAAAATGTTATCGATGTCGATGACCTTCATCCATAACTTATTGATAAAAAAATAACGAAAATACTTACGATTAAGACGAATACGTAAATACCACGAAAGATAGTCTTCGTTTGTGTATGTTTTGAATATATGTATATGTATATACATATATAGATGAATGTAAAACAACTGGCGATTCGGTGTTACCGCTTGTCAGCCGAGACGCCACTCTCTGTCCACTGTTCAAATTAGCAATAAATTTTAATTTTCCTAACTTTGCTGTCATTTTATAGGAGATGTCGTGGTAACGTCGAATCGTATCCCAGGTAGCTAAAAATGTATCGAGTTGCGAGTATAAGTACACTTATTTTCTCAGAAAAAAAACACATTAAAATATTAAATATTATATTATATATATATAATAAAATATCTCCATTGTGTATATGCTTTTATTGGCAAGCAATTTTTTAATTAATATGAATTATAGGAAATTAATCTGCATAAAATTATAAAATTTCATGAAAATATAATATATAAATAAATTATTAATTTATATGATAAATTTTATATTCATATCTCTTTAATTTTAATTTAATATACAGATAATCGGATGACAACGTGCTAATAAAAATGTCAAATTTTTTCTACAGAATAGTATTCAATTAATTTTATTTTGTTCACTTATTACAATCTAATAGATATCTAGTTTTAGCAATATTCCGATTATTAACCTATAAGTTACAAACATCTAAATTTTCTACGTTTTAACTGAAATTTATTGTAAAATGTGAAATCAAGTTTAAAATTTGCTTAAACGTGTAAATCAATTTTCTTTAACAAGTTTCTGTTTCCTACCTGGAGTTGCTGAAAACTGCAAAGCTAGCCGATGCTGCTTTAAAGAGATTTACAGATATCTTGCATTTCTCCTTTCAACTTTTTTATTAGTAGTATAAATACAAATCTCCAGCGATAATTATAATTTTAATTTTTACACCAATAAAATTTTTATTAAAGTTCAAGTAAAATGCACTTGTTGTTTAAAAAAACTTATCATACGACTATTATTCGAATTGTCACATATTAACATGTGAAAATTTAAAACACCCATGAGATACGATATCTAGCAACTACAATCAACGACTGATATCTTTTGCCTCTGCAAGAAGCATTCTGTTATCGCATGATTTTTTTGCTACATTTCCAATCCCTATTTCTTCAGAAAATTCTCTTTAGAATCTTGTGAATGTAACACCTGTAGGAAAGATTGAAGAGTATATATGCAGTAACGTGTATCTTTTTATATTTCTTTATGCCACTCGCGAGCGCAAAGACGGTTTTAATCTAAATATACTTACGAATAGAGTTCGTCGACAGCGCGAATACATTAACATTGCATGTTCCTCTTCACGAGAAAGGAGGAGGGTATGTACTCCGTAATAATGCAGTCCTTCTATTCCGTGATACCACTAGCATGATAATAGGCTGGAATAATAGAAGGGGAAATAACTCGATCAAAGATTATGCCACGATTGCTATAGTATACGTCTGTTATTACGTATCTTTCAGATGTATTATTGTAGTGTGCGATACCACGAATCTCGTTAATACGGCATAACTGCCGAAGTAGCAGTCGGTGCATGATGATGATGAAGAATGTGAAGAAGAATAAGTTTCTATCGATACGATTAGTGAGGTTTCTCATGAGGGTTACCGGTTTCTGGCCTGCCGAGTCAAAAACTGAGAAACGATTGTTGAATGGAGTTTTGAGTTATACAATATGTATAAGTAGTATATCTTTGTGGTTAGAAGCAACCGAACTATATCTAGGTAAAGGTGATTTTTATGTAAGTATCAAAATTTATATCTAATAATACAAATAAGAAAATGATAAAATTGACCAACGGCTAATATCACTGGATTAATAATATTTACTTAATAATATTTACTTATGCACAATAGTAGTCAAAATTTAAAATTGGAAAGTAATACTTTACTTGTATTACCGTTACTTTACTTTTTTTGTAATAAAAACGTATCGTATCGGGAGCGTTATTTTTTATTTTGTAATAGTAACGTAAGTTACATTTTTTCAATAATGTAAACAAATTTAACAGTTAACTTTTACCGCTATTTTTTAATGTAATCCATTATATATTTTTTTAAGATCATCTTTTAACTCATTAAGGAGATCCTTTTCTACTTTAAATCTTGTCTATTTTATTTCTACAGTAATTTTTATTGATATTAAGGTTTTTATATTATATATTATTTATATATTTATATATATATTTTTAATTATATATATATTTTTTATAGAATTAATGTAAAATTATTTTCTTATTTTTCAGTAGTATAATTTATATAAAAAGTAAGAACTCAGTAACAAAAATTGTATTGATATTTTAGGCTCTTACGTACACTGCTTGCAGTTCTATGCCAGTAGTCATAATAATGCTGAAGATAATTTTCTTCCTTCGTTATCGAAAAGAACTGTTGAATATGTTAAAATATACACAGAATAATTTTTGGTACCCTCAATATGATGAGTATGGTAGCGAAATTTTGGAAAAGATTAATAAAAAGGGATTAATATTAATGTGCACGTTTACATTCTTCGTTCAAGGAACTGTTTGCACCTATATCCTGACTCCTATACTCGGTATCCTGAATCTAAATTTACATCGCCTACTTACAATTAGTAGAGAATAGAACACGAACGCGATAAAAAGTCTTAGTTCAGGTACTAAGCACTTTTGTTCGTAAACTGATGCGCAAACAAGGATATCATATTTCTCTTTTACGTTACATTTTTATAGAAAATATAGGGAAAAACGAAAGCGACAGAATTCTTCCTTTTAATGTCTGGATTGGAATTTCAACAACCGTTTCGCCTATCTTTGAAATAATGTTTACTATCGAGGTAATACAGTATGATCCTTCAAAATTGTGTTGCAATAGAAACATTCAATTCTGTATTAATTTTTTATAAAGCTGCGACAAATGTTAAGACTTTATTGTGATATTAATTAAGTTTTTGAAGAATTAATAATATTAATAGTTATGTCAGCAATTGCATTTGATGTAGCATTTCGTTGCCGACATTTTGCTGAAGTATAAAATTTTATTTAGACACAGATCTGAAAATAATTTTGTTGGACTAAAAAATTATATGCAGGACATTTAAACTAATTATTAGAATATCAAAACTTTTATCAACGTTGCTCATGCTTGAAATTTGAGATTTTTAAGTAATTATTTTGATTGTTCTCAGATCTGTATCGAGCTAAATTTTTTAATACTTTAGCCAAATTATATTTTCCGTGCGTAAATATTTTCTTTTAGAGTGTATGATTTTATAGATTTCAGCACTCATTCACTGTGGCATATGCTTCTGTTGTTTCGATAATCTTTTGGGTCTATTAAATTTACACACTGCTGGCCAGTTCAAAATTTTACAACACCGATTGAAAAGTATCCTCATGAGAGTCGAACGGACCGATACCGTAAAGTTACTTATCGAGAAACAGAAACAGAAAGTATACGAAAAGCTCAGAGAATGTGTCATATTGCATCACGAATTGATATGGTACAGCGAAAAAATGGAACAAATTTTCATGTACTCGACTCTTTGCCAGCTGTTGGTGTCCGGCATCATGCTTTGCGTTGCGGGTTTTCAAGTGTTTTTGGTAAGTACCTACGTGTAGTTGTAATGAATGAGAGAGAAAAGACAAGATGTATATACATATCGGAACCCTTTATTCATAAAACGACGTTAGATAAGTAAAGGTAATGTAAGAGAGAGAGATAAACGTAATATAGCTTATCCGTGTTACTTACTGACTTTCTCTACGTGTCTTTATTGGAAAAGGCTCGAGGTACTTTGATCAGACGACTGATATTCATCGCTCATACAAATGGTTGCTTTGTCCAACTGTTCGTGGTCACACTGACGGCGACTGATTTAATGAATGAGAGTCGTGCTGTCGGAGATGCGGCGTACAACGCCAATTGGCAGGTTCTATCCCACGAGGAGAACAGGGGAGTCAGAACAGCTGTTCTGATGATTATGATACGATCAGCACATGCTTGTTCCATATCCGCTGGCGGTTTCTTCCCGGTGTCTCTCGAGACGTTTATGGCGGTAAATCTGGTGTAAAATATACAATTACAAGCAAACACTTTCCTTAATACAACAATATTTCTTTCTTTCTTCAGGTATTGAGCACAGCGGCGTCCTATTTTACATTGCTTCGCAAATTCGTGGAATGAGCGCTCGAATTTAAAGTTATATAAGGAATAAATGAGGCAAAAGCTTAGAAGTATTTAGAACATAAGAATATTTAGTTTTTGACTAACTGAGAAATTTCCGACGTTGCGTGTAATCTTAGATATTGAAAAATACAATGTTTATACAATATTTGAAATGTATCTATGTAACTGTAATATTCTATAGAATGTCAAGGATAAAAAATTACTCAATTTTATTTTTAATGACGTTTTCTAAAAACTAATGTAAATAAAATCAATCTTTCTTCTGATAGAAATACCTCGCAGAAATATTTTTTTCCTTCGTGTAAAATTGTTCGAAAAAGAAATGTGCGCAAATAAAACTTTGGTTATTATGCGATATAATTAATAAGCTAAAGCTCGTTTGTAAATACTACATTACCTCTAACAATACCGTACGTAGCCGTCCAATTTATGATAAAGTTTGATAGCTCGCAGTCGGGATACTACTGACGCATGACGGAAGCGGCGGAGAGAAAGGGCTACGGCATTGTCCACCGAAGATCGAACTTAATACATGTACTATCAACTGATTGCCTTCAGCAAAGGAGACGCGTACGATTACAGCCTGTCACTAGGTAAGTGCGCGCCAATTTTCCTGCTTGTTAGCATAATGGGCTTCCACTTATATCGAAATGGCACGGCTATTCGGATGCACTTAAGACCGTAGCGGCGTAAGAAAATCACGAGGTTCGGTATGACACGAAGTAAGGAGTACCGATCGGTGAATATTACACGGCTCTTTATGAAAGTAGTCGGACTCTGGTATGTCGAGACACCGAAAGAAAGATTGCTCTTGCGTGTTGTGTTCGGCTATACTGTTTGGGCGATCGTTTTCGCCATTCTCGTCGAGGGCGTTGATCTGTATCACTGCATAGGTGACTTTTACGTGAGTGACGCAGCGATTGCTTTCGCAGTTCTATCTTGACGGACGTAGAAACAGCACGTTCTTGAATTTATTTTGATATTTAAAGTATTACTTTAATTTTTACTGTGTATTATTTTCAGTTGTTAAATTAAATTATTAAACGTATAAACTAATTAACATTCCCAGTTTTGAAAAAAGTAGTATAGACGAGTATAGTAGATAGTAGTTAATAGTAGAGAGTATATGTGTATTTTATTTTTATATATTTTTTAAAAATATTTTTCTTCTATTTCGGTGAATTGAAATTGTTATAATTGGAAAAGTATAATTAGAGAGTTTTTGATGCTGTACGTGTATTTGTGAAAGTATGTATGTAAAAAGTGTATCTTACCTCAAATGAAAATTTTACGTAACAGTTTTTAATTGACATAATTGCATGTCAAAGAGATTGTAAGATATCATGTTTTGTTTTTTATAATTTTATTCTATCTTAAAAAATGTTTTTTATGCTAAAACTAATATGATATTATAGTAATATTTAATGTTATATATGAGAATATTTATAGCATAAAAACTATCATGTGCGAAATACTTCTTAAACAAATAAACAGAAAACCAATATCATTAATATTATTATTTCCGCAAAATTTTTATTTTTAATACTTACAGCTTTTTAATATCAAATCTCTCTTTTTTACAATTTCATTAATGTAATTAATTAATTATGTCCTTAATAACGTGCCTGTTATAACATTAGCGAAATTATTTTTATTATCTGTTTATTTATGAATTTGCATTCTCACAGCAGCAGAATGTTCATATGAGGGACAAGATTTATTTAATTCTTGGTACTTTTATTACTCATAGGCTGTCACATCCAACTTGTGTGCAACGTTGCTCTTGATAATGATACTATTGAAGCTAGGTAGTTTTATGTTCTATCGTGACATGATAATGGGCTTGATTCATTTTGCTGAGAAGAATTTTTGGGGTGTCACTTATGACGAAGCTAGCGCGCAAATTTTAAAAGGATACGACAAACTAGGGATGACTATGATCTACACTTTTACATTTATGGTTTACATCGCGACTTTTAATTACATCTTCGCACCTTTCTTTGGTATAATTTACTTTTCCGCTTACACTGTACTGACGAATTGTAATGCTACTTTTCAAACTGCTACGTGAAACGACGCTGTACAGCGCGTCAAATATTTCTTTGCTGTTTGTAATAGAGCCTCAAGAAAAGAACGAAACGGAGAAAGTTTTACCTTTCAAACTGTGGATCGACTTTCCGTATCACTCACCGTACTACGAAATTACTTACACTATACAGGTAATGAAACAATGTATGAAATGATGAATTTTACCCAATTCATGTTAATAACAATTTTATTGATACAATTAATAATTAATTAAATGTTTTTTTATTCATTTTCAACAAAGAACATTTTTTTTGTTAGAATAAATTACTTAATTATATAAAAGTATTATTTTAAATTAATAATTGTTAAAGTCGAAGATTGCAATACATATGTTAACCTCTCTACTACTTTTATTGTTTCAAATTAACATTTTTAATTTTTCATATAAAAATTTAATTTGCATTATTTTGGTTACGTTTGTAGTCACTTTCGACGATGCATTCGGGTATCTGTACTTTTTGCTTTGATAATTTTGTAAGTACGTTCAACATTCACGCAGCCGCGCAGCTGAAAATCTTGGCTCATAAAGTGGAAGTCATTGCCGAACATTGTATCGGAGATACGATGGACCAGAAACGTCCGTTGGAAACGGATGTTGCAGTTCTGGCGTTCAAAAAATTGCGAGACTGTGTAAAGCAGCACCTCACGCTCATATGTTACGTGCGTAACATGCAACGCGTGTTCGCCATTATATTGCTCGGACAGTTGCTGCTTTCCAGTGTAGTCATCTGCTTCGGTGGATTTCAGTTCCTCGTGAGCTTTGGAATTTTATCGCCTCCTTATTTCACGTTCCGCTGTGCTTACTCGCCAGTTAACTCTATTATATTTCCACTGCAGCGTTTTCTCAAAGTGAAAAGCAATTAGATCTGATAAATTCAATTCTGCGTTTAAATGATATTGAATTCTTCAACTCTCTTATATTTATTTCCAACGTTTATAATTTGTAAACATAAGTATTAGTCTACTGCGAAATTAAAAATTTTAGAAAAAATTCTGAAAATATTTATGATCATAAAAAATATTAAATTAAAAAAAATAATTGTAAACTTTATAAATACTAAAAAGATTAACATTATCTCGTTTTCTAAAATTTTCAGTCTGACATTTTTGTTTGCAGGCGACGGATGTGATTATCAGAAAGTGTATTTTTGCCTTTCATTTCGTGGGCGGTCTTATCCAGTTGCTTATTTATACATGGACGTGTAATGATATAATTGTGCAAAGCACAGCTATCTCTGATGCCGTTTATAATTCTAAGTGGTATCTTTTACCCGATAATGATCTAGGAAGGGCAGTGAAGAGAGGGTTAATTACGATTATGATTAGAGCACGTCGGCCATGCATATTAACCGCTGGAAATTTTGCAGTTATGTCCTTGGACACTTTTATGGGGGTAAATATGACGCAACAAATGGCTCTTTAAAATTTTCCCAAAGAAATTTATTTATTGTAAGTTGTAAAAAGCACTGTATCGGAGTCAGTTATTTCTTTGCAATGCTATACACTCGCACTTTACATTTTTGCGTAGTTGTAAAATATGTCGATAAGAAAATATATCTCACACTCTGGCACTTTTCTTATATAAAGTTTTAGCTTAATCTTTACGTTAATCCTTATCCATATGACACTTTAAATTCAAAAGTTTTTTAGTTCTTAAAATAGTCCATCAAACGCTGTTAGATTCCTACTCTTCCGGTAATTTTATGGATTAATGTGCTAGAGAGAGAATAAAATTTAAATTTAAAATATTTAAATATAAGAATTATTCCACTATTATTCGATAGTCAGATTACTTAGATACTCATGTAGGAAAAACTATAAGATAAATTGTAAATAATATATAGTAAAAGAATATTTTTTATATTTTTCTATTTTTGACTAAAACAATTATCTTTACATGATTAATTTATCCTACTTGATTTTATGCATTTCTAAATAATTATGCTTACTAAATAATTATAACAATATAATAGTATTTATACTTGCAACAGATATTGAGTACAGCGATGTCGTATTTTACGTTATTACGACAAATGAGTGAAGATGATGTATAGTTATAAAATATAGTCTTATAGGAGAGATTCCTAGTATTGAAGTTGGAAAAATTCATCTTAATATCTCATAATTCATTTTAATATCTCATAAAATTTCATATTTGATTTTTAATGAGATATATGCTTAATAAAATTCCAATTCAAGGCAGCGAACATTTTACATCGCTAGAATCTTTTCTGTCGGTAAGTGTGCAATTATATTGAATATCTTTATGATGATAATATTTACTATTTATGAAAATAAAGGTATTTTTATAAAAAATAGAAGGCTATTTTTATTTTAACTTTTGTGTAAAGTATATAATTTTTAAAGTAATAGTTCTTCTACTATGAATTGTTATACTTACCTTTCATGTAAATATACAATATATATAACAAATAAAAATTAATAATTATTAAAACAATGTTGAATTTGATATTCTAAGGATCAAATTAATTTATATCAATATTGTATCAAAATTTACTGAGAAAAATATATAAACAATTAAATAGAACAACAAGATATTGCAGGTAGAAACGGGTTCCAATATTCCATACTAAGCTTTGTATAATCTTCAGAAGATCATTACCCGACGTACGATATAATGAGATAATATGTTGAATGTGAATTTTAAAAGAGAGAATTATCTAGGCAACATGCAATATCTAGAAGATATCTTTAAAATGCTTTTTAGATATTTTTTGATCCCAATGTACATCCTAAAAAACATCTTCATGATGTCTTTATGACGTCTTTTAGATATGTAGTCTGTAAAATTTTAGTATAGTCGCATAAAAATCGCGTTGCCATCAGTCGGCATGTTACTCATCTTTGATGTTTTACGTTTTCAACGTACGAAAACAATAAGAAATTGTAGGAATTACATATAGTACAATTTAAAACTATATAATCAAAAGATATCATGTTTTCAAATTAATATGACACTATTTATGTTATAGTAGATAACAACTTATTATTTTTATTTTATGCTATATTTATCAGCGTTATTTTTATTTGTTCGTATTCTTACTTTCGTTCTTTTAATTTAATATATTTTCTTTTTAATTAGAAAACTTATATCGTAGTTTCAAGTTTATCGATTTATTTATGTGTTAAAGATTAAGTATTAATAACTGAGTAACTCTTTTTAATGTTTTCCATTAAGAATTCAGATTTTTAATTCTATTATCTTTAATTTTTAATTCTCGTTAATACTATATA